GCTCATATCATATCCATACCTCGGCCTTTGCTGCTGGTCGTGTACAGCAAAAAAAAAAAAAAAAAAAAAAAGAAATCCCGAAATATCTCAAACAAGGCACACCTCGAATACAGCGTATGTACCTTGTATTCGAGAGTACCTTTCTATTCAAAAATCTAACAGCGATTCTCAGAACCCAATTTTTCACAGGTAACTTAGATACAATCATACAAGGGACGTACCTTGTTTTTGGGTTAAGACGGTAGCTCACTAACAGACTTCGACTTCACACGTGTCAAATCTCAGAAGCTCTCAGCTTCTTCACCTGTGCAGCCTTGAGGCCGCACTCATACTCTGCAAAAGTCCTTTTTTTTTTTCTTCTGTCCTTTTACTCTGCAACAATCTTTTTTTTTTTTTTTTTTACTCAGCAACAATCTTTCTTTTTCTGTTTTACTCTGCAACTGTCTTGGGTGCTGTGACTGCCATCCCCTCGTCCTCCTCTTCCTCCTCTTCCTCTCCAGATGCTGTTTCACTCTGTAGATCTTTCATGGTCTTCCCCTTCTTCTTCCTGTAGGCCGAAGGAGGGTCTGTTGGTGGCTATGATCGATCGCCTCTTTAATCTCTTCGTGTGGCATATGAAAAGAAAAGCCCTTACAAACCGATACTAAACAATTCTCTCTCTCTCTCTCTCTCTCACACACACAAAAAGAAGTAAAAAAAGGCCGAGAAATGAATGAAAACAAAGGTTTCGGTGTGTGCTTCATGGTCTGAACGCTCAGGTGGTAGGCGTCTGCTATTTTTTTCGTTTGTTCTTACAAAGTGCGCATTGTTAATCGATATATATATATGGAACAATGTATATGGCTACCGTCTTCCCACCACGAATAGAGTGTATGGTAATTATAGCTGTATCTAGACCAAATGTTGCCCCAAATACAGCTGTAATGACAGTACATTCTATTCGAGGGAAGATGGTAGGTTGGTCGGGCGTGAATGCTGGCTGATAATAGGAGATTTATGTGTGTGTGTGTGTGTGTGTGTGTGTGTGTGTGTGTGTGTGTGTGGGTCTATCTCTGATCTGTGATAACAGAAAGGGCCGATGCTGGAGGTGGATGAAGATAAAGTCTGGCAGCTATTTCAGGAGCTCAAGGCGTCAAATAAACAAGAGTTCATACTGAGGGGAAACTATGGTCGCGAGGGTTGTGAATTGTTGCAGAGCCTTGCTGAGGAGGCTGGGCTGCATTGGTAAGTTTGTCAAATGTCCGAGTAACAAAAGGTCTACCTTTCTGCCCAAGTAACAAAAGGTCTACCCTTCTGTCCAAGTAACAAAAGGTCTACCCTTCTGTCCAAGTAAACAAAAGGTCTACCCTTCTGTCCAAGTAACAAAAGGTCTACCCTTCTCCGAAAAGAAAAAGGAAGAAGAAGAAGAAGTTACTAACTGGCCTAGTAACTCAGTTGGTACACCCCAGAACTGTTGAGATACAGACCTGAGTTCGAACTCCTCGGAGAGCAGATGAGCAATTGCAAAGAAGACTTGGAGGTGGTAAGGGAAATCCACACAAGGCCGTAGAGTGATATGCAACGGAAGCCCAAAAAATATACATGTAAAATAATAAAATTGAGTTACGAATTTCCAATTTTAATGCCCCCTTCCTCCTCCAATCAATCAAGGCTCATGCTTCCGAGAATCTCCACCACAGCTTCAACCCCTACACCCCTGTTCAATCCCCAACAGCAGTCAACGAATTTTCGTGGAGTCTTCAACTCCCTCCTTCCGCCTCCAAACCCCGGGTATGGAAGCTTCAACCCCTACACCCCTGTTCAATTCCCCAACAGCAGTCGACGAATTTTCGTGGAGTCTTCAACTCCCTCCTTCCGCCCCCAAACCCCGGGTATGGAACTGCACTATCGTGGGGTCCAGACCCCGTAAGTCTGCAGGCCACAGCTGATCTGGTGCCTATCAGATGACACAATCCACAGCGCCTCCCTTCAAGCAGCGCCCGTAGCTCCCATGGAGAAGAAGACCAGCGTACGATGAAGAAGAAGATGAATCCACCAATACGATGAAGAAGGTGGATATGGCTGCCTTCCAAGTTGTTGAAGATGGCAGCACCTCCAACCTCCAAACAGCACCACCACGATGAGGAAACCAGCGCCAAGGGGAAACAATCACCCCGCACTGCCTTCAGGAGCTGGGCAACCCCTGCTATGGCCGCCCACCAATCTCATGAAGCAGGAGAGCCTGCGCTGGAAATAGCGCTGCCTGCCCGTTTCCCTCGTCATCAACTTTCCAGAAACAAAAGAGAAAAGATGCGAATCAGATCGGGCCCAACCTACTTCTACCCGGCTGGAGTTAGACCTGGATGGACTCCAAAGCTCTTGCCTAAACCTACATGCATGTAGACCCGAAGAAGGACAAAGGGGAACTCAGCAAAAGGAGAACCTATGGGCCTAGTAGCCTACCAAGCAGCAGCAGAAAAGGACAAAAGACAGGCTGAAAGACCGAAGACTGCCAAATAGGGCCTACTAGCGATAGATCCAAGGATGGAGTCCAGTAGGGCTCAGAACTACCAGATAGAACATACAACTGCAGGTCAAGGGATCAAGTCCCGCCTGGCTCAAAACATAGCAGAACGACGTAAGGGTTGCTGTACACATAGGTTAGTATACAACCCGCTGAGACACCCGCAATTCATTGCAGCCCGATGTTGTTCAAGAAGCGTGTTCCACTATCCTGTGCCATGTTGTTGCTGACTCTTGAGAGTTACTGTGGTACATGTACGTTCATGTGTGTGTGTGTGGTGTGTGTGTGTGTGTGTGTATTCCAGTGTAAGTTGTCAGGGTGTGAGAAGGGGGTTCAGCGAGGTGGGCGGGGGGCCAGCGGTTATACCCGAATAAAAAGGAAACATAGCCTCAGCGAGGTGGGCGGGGGCCAGCGGTGAGACCAGAATAAAAAAGAAACATAGCCTCTGAATCTCTCAAAAGAAAAGTAGCAAAGTGTATACGAATCATGCGCAGGGGAAGAGAGAGAGAGAGAGAGAGAGAGAGAGAGAGAGAGAGAGAGAGAGAGAGAGAGAGAGAGAGAGAGAGAGAGAGAGAGAGTTGGCAAAATGTGATGTGGAGTGAATATAGAGTTCCTTTGCGCTGAAGTCTGAACTAACTGTAGCTTGTGTAATCTTTTTGAGGTTGTGATTGTTGGCATGATTTCAGGTACTGAGATGTGGCGGTTGTGTTTTGGCATCTTTGCATTTATTTTTATTTGCATGTATTTAGCCGGGATTACGGCAAAGGTGAAGCTGTGGTGGTCAGCAAGGTCCCTCTCCCAAATTATCGTGCAGACCTGGATTCTCGTCATGGCCGCACAGAGCGAGAGGTGTGTTTGCTGTCTTTTTTACTTATGCCTGACTGCAGCACGCCCTGAAAATCTCTCTTTCTCTCACACCCTCTTCTCCATTTTGCTGCCCCCCTTTGAATATTCTCTTACATTTTTAAATGATTTTTTCCCATTTTGAAAAGAATGCAGCAACTGAATCTTTGGGTGATGTGTTGGGAGAGATTGAGCAGAGTGACGGCTAGGAGTCAAACCTTGGAGCAGGGAAGGTGGCAAATGCTGGGCAGCTCTGGAGGAGCTGATTTTTCCCTTTTTTTTTTATTCTTCTTCCTTTTTTTTGTTTTTTTGCGTTTTAAAGATTGGAGGAGGTGAATTAACCACTAGTCCCCTTTTTGCAACCCCCGTTGGGACCTACTGGTACCAGCAGAAAACCAAGAAGGGGCAATCTTTGCGTTGGATGGATGTCTGAGTGGTCGAAGATATCGGTCTTGAAAACGTTTTTGCACCAAGGAGGAAAAAGATGCAAAATTTTGTGAGCAGAACTTGTTTTGCCATCCTGCATTTTTCTTTTCTTTCTTTTATTTTTCCTGAAAAGGTCAGAATGCAATCTACTCCCCTGATTTTTTTTCAGAGTTTTTTTTCCAAAACTTGTCCGAAAAATCCCGAAATCTGTCGCTGATCCCCCACCAGCCGACCCCCCACCCCCTGGCCGGTGCATGTATATCGCCGCAGCCTTTGGATTAGGTGGCATGTATACCGCCGCAGCCTTTGGATTAGGTGGCATGTATATCGCCGCAGCCTTTGGATTAGGTGGGGGGACTCGTGTTTTACAGTTATAGATCGATCGCTAAGACGTCCGGAGTTACTGTTGCTCCATTTTTTAGTTTTCAAATAAGAGTACCGCCCCCTGGGACTGCTCAGGGCCGGTCGAGGAACGGATGAATGGTTAACATCGGGCCCCCCCAAAATGTCTGTGGCAGTTGCGGACTTTTCAGTATTTCAGAGGCGGGTACCAGTACTGGGTCCATTTCTCCAATGGCCCAGTACCGATCCCTTTTAGGCTTTTTTGGCAAAATGCATTTTTTGGTTTGTCAATTTAGCCTCGGATGGACTGGTGCTTAAGTAAAAAAAAAAATGATACTCATCCAACCATCTGTATCCAATGACCATTGCTCTGTCATCCTAAGCATCAAGAGAGGTTCGTTCGTTCGTAAGGTCAACATCAAGAGAGGTTTGCTTGTAAGGTCAACATAGCATGCGGTGGCAACCTTCTGGCTCGAAGAGCAGACGCTTCGCGTCTGAATCCCACGAAGGCGCGAAAGTGCGTAAGAATTTGACTGTCTTTGCGGATACCGCTAAATGCATAAAAGAAATGCGACAAAGTCTTCAAATCATTGTCCAGTGCTTGAATCAAATGCCTGGGGGCATGATCAAAGCGGGTGATCGTAAACTTTGTCCTCCTCCTTCACGCTCTCAAATGAAACAATCCATGGAGTCCTTGATTCATCACTTATAGCAATTGTAAACAGGAAAACTCTAACAGAATAGCCATGATTTTGAGTAACCAGTGACTTAGTAATTGTGAAATAATTTATTCAAGAGAGGTTCACTCGTGACGTCAACATCAAGAGAGGGTCGCTCGTAAGGCCAACATCAAGAGAGGTTCGCTCGTAAGGTCAACATCAAGAGAGGTTCACTCCGACAATGGAGGGTCAACGGTGGTATTTTTCGTACAGTGTTTGTTCCTGCCATTTTCCAAATAAAAAAGAAGAATAGACCCAGAGACTGGGAGTGACAAAGTTCGGCAAAGAAGGGGATTCAGAAAGGAAAAAAAAGAAATGGGAAACCATGTGGCGGTCACAAAAAGAGTTTGAAAATACACTTTGGGCAAAAAAACTGTTTCAAATTGCACTTCGGGGAATGTATACAGCCTACCTTCTCGGTCAGGTAGGGTTACGTGGGGGTGTGTTATGTTAGAGGGAATGCCCAAAGTGTAATGTAATTTCAAACTGTTTCTGTGACTGTACAGAAGTTATCCCCCCCCCCCCCCCCAAAAAAAAAAAAAAAGAACAAAAAAGGTTTGGCAAAGTAAACCGGGTGTGAAGGGGGCGAAGAAAGACATATTCGAGTCAGCAGGTTACAAACTTTTGCAGATCCATGCATTTTTTTTTTTACGTATTGGTTGCAAACTTGTTGTGCATGTTTCTTTGAGAGGGGCCTGATCTGCTTCCCCAACTTGCAAACGACTCGCTGTGACATGGATGTATGCGGGGGGGTCATGTTTGGCTGGTTCTTTCTGTTGGTTCCCGCCCGGGGTGGAATCGCAACCGCAGATCACAATGTCAGCAGCGACAGAGGACCGGGTCGAGCGAGCTCTGGAGCACGCGCGGCGATCGGACACGGGTTCCTCGGCTGCCAAGAGTGTAATGACCTCGGGGCCAGAACATCCTAGACAGAACCTTGATGCAAGCAAAGTAAAGGTACCAAGTTCTGCATGGGACGATGGTGATTGGGATTCTAATGAGGCACCTCAGCAGGTTCCGAAGGTCTCTGCACAGGGACCGGTGGCCGCAGACACCATAGGCCGGAAAACACCAGCTTGGGGAAAAGCCCAGTCCACTGATACCGCTCTGAATGAGAAGGCGAGGCAGGATGGTGAAATGTTAAAGACAAAGCAAGCCAGGCAGCAGGTACGATTCTGCAGGTGAAAAGTCTATCCCTTTTTTTGGTTGTTGTTTCTTTTTTCTTAAGAAGAAATTTATGTAATAAATTTTAATGGAATTTTCGCATTGAATTTTGCAAGACTTTTGTATTAACTTTTCTTTTTTCTGAAAGGACGACGGCCTGGAGATATCGTCTTTGAGATGACCGGCCCCAGGTAATTCAGAAGTATTTGATTCTTTTCATCTGATTGCATCTGGATTCCAACTCGGGTCTGTATTTCAACAGTCCATTGAGTGTACTAACTGGGCCTGGGCCCGTTGGTAATTTGCTGGAATTTTGTATTATATCTTGCTGGAAGTGAAAGTCTATCCTATCATCGAAATTTGAAACTGTTGGAGTTCCAATGATAGGATAAATCTTCACTTCCAGCAAAAGTGTATCAGATAGGTCTGCCCAAGTCAGGGCATAAGTACGCTAGGCCCTCAAAAAATTGCAAAATTGCAAAATCAGCGGCCAGAAAGTGACGAGTCTATCCTATTAAATTTACTACGGTCTGCCCAAGTCAAAAGATCATAATGCGTAACAAAATAAGGAGTGAAAAAAAAAGAAAAAAACAATGGTAGGAGTGGCAGCTAGTGGGTCAAATGGCAACAATTTGAAATTCAAATCACTTCAGAACAGTCGTGCTTGATAGTTTTGTCTATATTATGGTTTCGGCATTGAATAAATTGACATTAATTCAATGTTAGTTTACCAATTGACGAAACCATAATATTAGGAAAAATGTTAGGAAAATTGATAATGACGAAAATATTAGGACATTTTATGGTTTCGTCAATTGATAATCGAGTCAATTGACAGAACTATCAATTGATAATGACGAAAATTGATAATGACGAAAATATTAGTCCTAATATTTTCGCATTGAATAAATTGACAGAACTATCAATGAATTAATGTCCTAACATTTTTGCTGCCTAGGTGAGCACCTGGCCATTCTTCCTTACACCAATGAAGATCATGATCACCAGCATGCACCAGCGATTGGTATAGACTCGATAGCAGCACAAGTACAACCCTTCACATTCGAACAGACTGTTAAAAGGTTTGACAGCCTGCATAAGCCTGTTGTGGAGGCATTTGAGAAATAGACTGGATGGCAGAGTTGCACAGGCCGACAGTTGGCCCCCCTTGATTGGTCGGCTGGTTGGCACCTATCGGTCGGCCATTGTCGGCACCCCGCAACAAAAAGAAAGGGAGCCTACCGGTCGGCGGTCATCGGCACCCCACAACAAAAATAAAATAAAAAATGGGGAGTCCGTAATCCCCAATAACCCCACCAACACCCCCATACACCTCCCCAACACCCCTAAACCGCCTCCCAACCCCCTCGTTCCCCTCTCCCTTCCAAAAATCCCCAGAAGTTTCTCAGTGGATTTGTTCTGTACTCAGCAAGCGCAGTACAGCCCCATACCAGATTAAAAGGAAAAACAGCGTTTCGGAGTCTCACAGTGGAGATGGAGGCAAGGCTTATGCTTTCGCCCCTTACTTCTTGTCTGCCTTCATCCTCCTGCCCCTGATGTGCTGTGCTCTGCCTGAGGGATAGGCATGCCATGGACTGTTGGGAATCACAGGAGCATCGACCCATACTTGTTCCTGGGAAAGAAAGTCAGTCTAAATGGATACATCCTGCTGCTGCCTGATCCAATATGTGGTATGTGGATATAGTTTTTCGTAATGTGATAGACGAGAAGATCATTGGATGCTGTTCCTGGCTCTGTTTCTTGATTGTATAGCTGATGTTGCTTGCTCGGACTGGTGGTTTGTCACTTGTGAATAGGCCTCTCCAGCTGTGCAAGCCATGCTTGCCTTTAGAAGAAAACTGCCGGCTTTTCAGAAGAAGCAGGAGCTGCTGGATGCTGTGCGAAACAATCAGGTGTGTGCTCCCCTTCCTCAAATAGAAGACAGACTAATTGCTTTTTGCACATTTCTTTGCGATTGGGGTTTTGGGGTCAAGGGGCCAAATTTTGTACGTGTGGATGGCATCGTGCTTCGATTGGTTTCATTCGCTTAAAACTTCACAGTTGTCTTTCTTTTCGTCCGCGCCCCACCCACGGCCCCCTCACCCTCCCCTCCCCGTTTCCCTCCACGTTTCTCCACTCTCCAGGAGGGAAGCTTTTGCATTTTCGAAGGTCTTCTTCAGCAATGAGGAACTCGTTCTCTATGTTGCTGCCGTCAGATATACTTCCCCTTCTTCTTCTTCTTCTTCTTCTTCTTCTTCTCCTTCTTCTTGTTGTTCTTCTTCTTCTTCCTCTTCTTCTTTTTCAACCTCTTCTTCTTCTTCTTCTTCCTCATTTGTCCCCTCTAGTTTGTCTTCTTCTTCTTCCCCACGCCGGCTACGACCGGCCCCTCCTTTGTCTTCGTTGTCCATATTGGGACGCCGGCAGGCTCGTTCATTCTCTCCTCCTCCTAGTCCCCCTTCCTCTCGACGTAGTGTTGATGCTAATTTGCGGGGTTCTTTGTCTTACGGACAACCTGCTCTGCCACATCGGCGGCGTTCGTCATTTATGCGCCGACCCCGCCAGATCACAGCTGGCTTTCCAGTGGTGACCGATTCGGGTCTGTGGGCAGAACTACCAAATTCTTGTGGTTTGACAGCCACAAATGTCTGCCTACAGGCTTATCAGCGTCAATGTTATACTGCGTCACAGTTTGTTCCGATTGCTAATCAGCTTGACGCTGTTGAAAATCAGTTGTTGTATGACCATAATAGCCCACCTCCTGAAGGTAGTAACTATACTACCTCAGGAGGATTTACTGTAAATGTCTTACAGTTAGCTTTCCATGGTCGCCACCTTCTTATGCATCATGCGATGCCAGGCAATGACCTCAATGACCATCCTCATATTTCTGCCTGTATTTTACACAGACCCGGGCATTATATGGCACTCATTCGTGCAGCTGCCCAGTGGGAACTGTGGGATGGTGGGACGATGATTCAGGCTATTTCCAACGTAAACGAGTTTTTGGGTGCATTGCCGAATCATACTTTATTCTGGATTATTGACCGACTCTCGTGTGACACCTGTCGGGGCAGAGATGCGGTGCGTCTTGGTTGTGGCATTCATCATCTATGCCATCACCATTATCAATCTACTGCGACTACCGCTGTCTGTGCTGAAGGGTGTCCAACATTTCCTCATTGTACACATCCCTATCACCCAGATATACGTTGTCCCTWTTGTGCCCAAGGACGCTATCAGAACTTCATGACGCCGCATGTGATGAACGTCCTGCTGTTCTTTTGACATGTGGACAACATGTCCTCTGTCAGGACTGTTTTGATGGGATGGTTCGTGCTAGCCGTCCTGCTGAATGCTGTGCTGGCGCAACTCTCCTTGGGTATCCTTGTGAACATCCACATCATCCTCACCTAAGCTGTCCTATCTGCCAAGGTGGGAACAGTTAAAGAAAAAAAGAAAAAAAGAGAAAAAAAAAATAAAAAAAATAAGGAAAATGAACAAATATGTTGATCTATGGATGTGTTATTTGCTTTGTGACAATTGGATTATCTGTGGGATGTGTCATTTGCTTTGTTTCCCTGTCAGGAGGTTTCCTCCTTTTCTTTACCTCTTTGCCTTTTGGTTGCGTACAAGTGGGTCCTTGTGACACACAGGGATGGGGGCAGCCAGCGCTCAACCTGTCATCCACGTGGCTGGCCTTGTATGTAAGAGGTGATGAATTCCTTCCTTCTTTTCCTTTCCGTGTTTTGCCTTTTTCCGCCTTTGCGCTCCGATTCACAGTGTGACAATATATATGATGATGATTACGAGTGATAGTGAGTGACATTCCTGATCCATGAAAGACAATTTGTCGACTGCAATTGCTGATCATTTGTCTTTAACTTGTGTTGCAGGTTTTGGTTGTTTCTGGTGAGACTGGTTGTGGTAAAACAACTCAGCTTCCTCAGGTAGAGTATTACTATCTACCCAGCCCAGGTCATGTGGATGAATGTTATGCACATGTACCTGTCAGTGAACTGATCACGAATCCAAATCCCTTTTTTTTGTTAGGCTACCAGCCGGACTGCCCGGGGACCTTGTTTGCCCAGCCAGCCCGGCCATGCAAGGGCCAAAGTAGGTCCCAGCAAAAAAAAAAAAAAGCTGAAAAAAGCTGAAAAAAACCTAGGAAGATTCTCACGCCCGGCCGGTTCTGCCCGGCCGGGCACCCAGGTGTGACGCCTGGGGTACCCCGGCGTGCAAAAAAAAATAAAAATAAGAACATATTTATTTTTAATTTCTGTGCTCTCCCAGAGGACCCCAAATCCGGGCTCATTTCTTTTTTTGCAAGTCGGCTGTCAAAGTTGGGGGGGAAGGATAATTGGTTTTAAGGGGGCTAAAGGGGTCTTAAGGGGGGTGCCTTTGTGTGATTCCGTTATTTTATTTTTTATCTCCAATTCTGTGAGGAATTGTAATGTGACCCTCAGCCCAAAGTCGTTTGTGTTTCAATTCTACACTTCATATTTTTTTTCTGATTTTTTTTTTTTTTTTTTTTTTTGCGCTAGGACTGCGCGGAACCCTGCCCGGGGGTCATGCCCGGCTGGGCACCCGGGCGTGTACGCGGGCAGAAGTTGGGTGCCTGGGCGCCCGGAAAAACAGCCTATAAAAAAAACTATGTTATGCAGAAAAATGAAGTGAACAACTTTTGACTCAGGGCCACATCGAAATTCTTTACCAAATAAGTTTTTTTTTTTTGTTTTTTTTTTGGCCCGGCTGGGCAAGTCGTCCCGGCCCATGCTGGTAGCCTTTTTGGTCTTTTTTTTGGCGAGTGATGGAGACTGGGGCCAGCGTCCCTTACAATATTGATGCCTACTATGCTTCCTTCAAGTTTTACAGTGAGGGCTGTATACCAGAGGAACATGTGGGTAATGTAGGAGATGACGTTAGGTGTAGGGATGTTTGTGGAAGTTATGGGGATAGTACACTTATGGTGGTAGGAGATGAGGTTAGGTGTAGGGATATTTGTGGAATAAGTTATGGTGTAATGAACCCAGTCTGTAAGATACTTGCCAGATGTCGAAATACGAAGTAACTCAACTCTGAACAATGTCTCCAATAATCATAAATGTGATCTCTGATACAATGTCTCGTTTCCAGTTAGACGAAGAGAGTGGAGGGCAATATAGACAGAATAGAAGGTGGAAGAGGTAGTAACCATCAATGACCACAAAGAGAGTAGCCCAACATTTCCCACTCCTTCTCCGGGCTTCCCCTCGCCTCCACGTCAGCAAAACAGTATCCAATAACGAACCTGACAGATCCTGATCACATCGAAGTGCCACGCGGCAAAGTTCTCTCGTGAAGACGTTGAAGACGTTCAGCAGCGTGCAATATCGACATCAACCACAGGTAAGTATCCCGTTTCCCTTCAATCATCCACAGATCCCGATCTCCCTCCTTGTCGTGCCCAACAGCAATGTAGACAGCGTGGCAAAGGCCACGTCAGCAATGAAGACAGAGTGGCATGTGCGACATCAGCAATGTCGAAGACAGTGTGGCCTTGCGCCACGTCAGCAGAGGCTGGTGCTGAAGCAGAAAGCACCAGCAGGCAAGCAAGCAGCAGTCTCGCATCGTCGTCCACGGTGCCAGCGTCCAGCTAGCGTTCAGCCAGCGTCAAGGCAGCATAGCAAGACTGGATGTTGACTCCCTGGAGGCCGGACCTTATGTAATGTTTGACGAGGCTGTTCGGCCTCAGGTCTCCCATCCACAGTGGCTCAGGTTGACTCACAGCCGAAGGCCTGGATCGCGTACATTTGCAAACTTCCACTTGGTCCGAATGCTGTTTTGGTACCTGCATACAACAAGTGTGTGTGTCTTGACCGGCGGCCTGGGCTGGGTGCATGCAGACTTTGACTCTTGGCCCGCTGGGCAGTTGACCGTGGTCAACTGTCGGGTGCACAGGCCCTGAGCCTACTTGGGGTTTTCCTCCCCCTTGGCCTCTGCGACCTCAGACGGGGTCGCTGCCTGTGTGTGGGCCTGAGGCCACCTCAGGTGTTACATGCTGCGCCTGCACACGCAGGCCATTTTCCAGGCCTGCGTCCTTCAGGCCGAAAGCCTGAACTTCAGGCTGAAAGCCTGAAATCCAGGGCTTACAGGCCCCATGTCGGTTCAGCCCGAAAGCCTGAATTCCAGGGCCTATCCCTGTGCCGTTTCAGACTAAAAATGGCAACAGCCTTTTTAGCCTGAAACGAAGGGCCATTTTCGGTCGTTCATCAGAACGACCGGCCCTGAAACTCAGGCACCGAACCAGGGTTTCGGGAACAGGCTATTCTTAGCCTGTTCCCACGCCAGCCTCAGCAGGCTGCTGCACGCCAGCCCCTGGCACAYTTCGGCATTGGCAAGAGCTGCCTCCTCGGCCTGGCTCGCCCTTCAGGCAGTCAGGAGGCAGGCCGAGGTAGTACATAGGAACCTCCCAGGCACTTCACGGGAAGGCAGAGAGGCAGTTGTAGTCTTCAGGATTCGGGAGCAGCACTCTGGAGGGAGCGCTGCAGAGTAGTAGTAGCGTTAGCTTGTAGTCTTCAGCGCTGGGCGCAGTAGGTAGCTGTAGTCTCCAGCGCTGGGCGCCATAGCTAGATAGTACTAGAGAGAGAGAGAGATTGGGTGGAGGCCAGAGGCACTCACCTGCAGCGCCGTTGCTCCAGCTTCGTCTTCGAGGTACCTGCAGCACAGGGCCAATACCACAGGTCAGTATCTGGCTCGTAACAGTGAGAGAGAGTTCTTCTTCTTCCTCTTCTCAGTCCACCATCTCCTTCTCCCCCTCTCAACATCTGACTTCACTCATCTGCAGACTACGAGAGAAGAGAGACAGAGCTTGGTGACATCGGATCCAGACTCGACTTTTGGGACTTCAGACATGGCAACGAGGGACTATTTGGGATTGGTGACCAAGACTTGGTGTTGACGACATTCCCATCTCTCTCCCTCCTTTCGTCTGATCCCTTCCTCTTCGTCTGTGTATGTCTGGACCTGGCGCTTTCTTCCTGTGTACAGCGCCAGGCTCCTTCACACCTGGTGA